ACTCCTACAGTTACCTGAGTGGCCCCCGTTTACTGAGGGGCCCTGGTTATTGATGGGGTCCCTGGTTACTTGAGGCCATCTGAGGGCCCTTTAAGGCCATCTGAGAGCCCTTCGAGGTCATCTGAGGGCCCCTTAAGGCCTGGTTACCAGAGGGGCCCATGGTCACCTGGTGGGCCCCTGATCAATTGAAAACCCCTGGTCATCTGAAACGCCCCTGATTACCTAAAGGGTCCCTGATCACTTGGATTCAGTGACATAGCAAGGGAGCGAGGGGGTACGTGCCCGTTCTCGGGTTTAGGGTTTCTTCGAAACCGAGGGGCCCTGCGGCGCCAGTTGGTAGCAGAGGGTTCGTGCTGGCCGCACTTCAACTCGGAAGGACACCACAGGGCTTGTGGGGCACGTTATTGGCTCCTATGTAGCCACAATTATCTTCATAAAGGCCCAATGCCGGTTTCTGAGAGACCTCGCCGGCCGCTCAGGGCCCTAGTAACGGCCAACGAGGGATTGGCTGCTATGGCTCCACATCCGTCTGTGATAGACACACGGTCCACACCAGTGTTTCTAAAGGCACCCACAACGGCAACTGCGAGGCCCCTCGCGCCACCTCCAAGGGACCCCCCACCAGCGCATCTTAAGGGCCTACATCGACGGCTCTGAGAGTCCCCACACCGGCGCCTCTGAGGGCCACGTATCAGTGACTCTGAGGGCCTCTTACTAGCCTCTGAGTGTCCTTGCAAGCCTATGAAGGGCCACTTCCCACTTGCAGGCCATTTTGCAGGGCCACACACATGCCAATGATGGCCCCACCAGTGTCTCTAAGCCCTAAGACCCTGCAACGGCGCCTGTGAGGACCCAACACCAGCGCATCTGACGGCCTTTCACTGGCACCTCTGAGCGCGCCACACACCGGTGACTCTGAGGAGCTCGCTCGCTTCGCTCGCTCGTAGAATACCATGTACATTAGGCATTAGTGTACGTACATTAGGCACACTCCTCGGGCATAAATGGCACTTTTACTCGCCAATTTTCCACATTTTCTCATGCAAAGACCGTTTTAAAGAGACCCGTCTGCTAGTGAAACTGGACCCACCGTGCCTTCCTCCTCCCATCGAAAGGTCCTGGATACATCCTTGCCTGAGCTGACCACGGGCCCCCGGGTGACTCGCGGGCCGGGGGTCAGGTGACCAGCAGGTGACCCCCTCTTGGGCGAAATTCTGGGTACGTGTCCGACATGCATCGTACATAGTCCTGTTGATTTGATTCATCGGTTAAACATTAAATATAAGATATAAGCTGGATCTCTAGTCTGTGATCCCGCATCGTATCAGCTATAATGACATTTCATGTCGATGTGCCTTAAGAAAATATGTGAATACTCGTATACGTGAAAAAGGAGTGCTGCTCCCGCTCCTACACAACCGGGCCAAACAGTGACCGGCCCCTGCTATCAGCCACCCGGGCCGGCCGGCAGTTAGTCGCTGCCCGTGGCTGATTTCTGAGGGACTTGCAAAAATGTTTATTATTGAAATGTTTTACGTAATAAATTAGATGATTAGGTATATGTACGGGCTCTGAGTCGCATTTGAGAAAAAAACATGCTAGCGTAAAAATATTAATGTTTTGAAAATTAAGCTGGTTTTGAAATAATTGTTTTACCATGTATTGACAAAAGCTCAAGCTTCAAACCAACCGAAATACATATGACCCCGTGGGCCGTATTTCTTTTTTTGGGGGGGCCCTTCGGCATGGGGGGGCACAGTTCGAGGGTCGTGCCCCCCCCCCCCCTCATTCAAAAATCCTGTGTGCGCGCCTGGACATGGCCCGTGCCCTGCACACTGTACACGTCTTCTATTTATTATGATTCGATAAGCTTCTTTTTACACACTGGTTCTAGCTACATGTCATTCGAAACGGGACTGTAACCATCGAAAGACGTTCAACGAATTTGCTTCGTGGGGCCGAGATATCGCTATGTTGCCAAAAAGCAGTGGTATGTCCTCTCCATTCACCCTCGCCGGACCTATTGGCTTTCTCCATACGCGTCGGCCGAGGGGGAGGGGGTGGCAGGTACGAACCCCCTTCGCTGTTTCGCCCCTGGTGGAGCTATTGCGTCGCAGAAAAAAAACGAGCGTGTGCGCCGTTACGAGACGAAGAGATTTCTACCCAATTTTAAGGTCCTCGGTCAACCGGTGACCTCTGAGATCAGGTCAAGTGCCCCAAGGTACGGTTCCGTTTTTGGTGAATAACTTCGCAAAAAACGGCCGCCGAGCCGCGATTTTGGCAGCATCGTGCTTGCCTCGCTCAGGCGCGTCGAATTATATACTTTTTTGGGTGAGGTCACCTTAGTGTGTTGACCTCGGGTCACGGTCAGCTCAGCGCCCACACGTCACGAAGTTTATCGAAGGAGGTCATGACCCATCTCCTTCGATTCGCAAGTCTCCCTGAGTCCATTGGTGGATTTCCTAAATCGCTGGATCAATTTCATCGGGAGTCATTTACGAAAAAATCAATATTAGCCTAATGACGTCATAAATGACGTCAGGCAAGTTCAACATTCCAAAAGTGACGCATCGAACCTTACAACGAGTGCATGAAATCACGATTCTGGGTGGTTTAGATAGTTGGAGGTCCTTCCCGGCACCAGAATAGTAGTTTTCATTTTTCCCATCGCCTTATAATTGTGAGGTCACGAAAAAAACCTGACCTCATATGACCTTAAGGAAAAATCCGAGTGATACAAGTTGTGAGACCCCTAATGGATACTACATCCTGCAAGTTTCATACCTCTGTGAAAGCTCCTCCGGGAGAGAGGGTGTTGCAATGTTGCGACGTTTTAACCCGCGGCCCACTGGGGGGGCATTCGTAGCCCCCCCCCCCTCCCGTTTGTCTGCAATAACATCCAAACCGCTTGACGTATCGACGCTAAACGTACAGCACATTTGGCTCCATCAATTTGACACCCTCTGTCGAAATATGAGCTTTGTAGCTACCATAGGTCGGCCGGAAATGACGTGATTTCGACGCAAAATATGAACCACGGCAATCGCTCCCAAGAGCTCAGTTTTTAAGCTAGATCTTATTTCTTTGCATGAGAGGACTTAGAGTAGACTGTGTTATTACTATCTCGGATTTTACAAATATTGAATTTTTATAAATTATTCATATTCCCAGTCTCGTTCAAAAATTTCAACTTCAAAATTTGACCTTTTTTGACCTGAAAGTGACCTGACCTAAGCTAAATTCAACTCAAAATTACCTCGAATGACACAAACGACATCAAATTCGAAATATATGGCCTAAATGGACCATAAAGCATGTGTCACGTGACCGACGTATGCTATAATATTTCCGTGACCTTGAAAAGTAAGGGTTAAAAAATAAGTAGATAATGATGCTTCCGCGCCCTGCTCCGCCCCTACCCTTCCCGTTTCTCCCTAACCCTCCCTGCCTGCTTCCATACCTCTTCTCTCCCCTTCCCTCACTTCCACTCTCACGACTGTCGCTCACTGACTCAATGATAAACTCATTTATTCCTCCCCATATGTCTCTCACCCTCCCCTCCCAGTCTTCTTTATCACACTTCTTTGCTCCCTCCCTCCCTCAACTCCCCTCCCCTCCCAACTACTCCCATCCTTTCCCTCCTCTCCAATCCCATCTTTGCATTTGAAAAAGTAGGTACTGGCTTCTTCTCCGCCCGCACCGCAGATACATATACGTTTTTTTATATCCCAGTTACCGAAGCTATATATTAAGGTACGTTCTCGGCAGGTAGCTCAAACAGTAAGTACTGGGTGCTTCCCGCCCAGCTCCGAGACTAGTACATAGACATGATCGATAATATTTCAGTGTTTTGTGGAATTCTGTTATCAACCTATCTCAAATCTGAGTGCCCTACCTCGTCAAGCTCCGCCCCCTCCCCAACTCCCTTTTCTCCCCGCAACCCCCTATCCCGGCCCCGACCCCCCCCCCCCTCCCCCGCCCCTCCCCCTAAGGCCCGCCACTCATGATCGGTAATGTTTTCAGTGCTACAGATATAATGCAGGGTGACCCAAAATCAATGTCACATCCTCCCACAACCTTTATTTTGCCTTCTACGGCGTAATTTCAATATATTTTCAGCGTTACTTGCTCCTAGAGACCATATTGGCTGCATTCTAGTCACGTGACCTTCGAATTTTTGTGGCCCTGACTGGTCAAGTGGTTAAAGGGACTATCCCACCTTCTAAAATGTTGTTAAAACCAGTTAAATTGTGCCCGACTTTATAGATTGGATGACCAGGAACACGGTTCTGGCATTTATTTTTCATTAAACATCTTAGGCTTCCCATATTCCAAACACAAACTTTCAAATATGTGACGTCACAGCCCAAAATTACCTCCTTCCCCAGGCCACATTGCTGTCATAAAGCTGATTTTTTTTACTCTGTAGGCACCACAACAAATTTCAGACCAAGTTTTAAGCGATTTTTCAACGAACAAACCCATTAAAATCAGAATGACTAAACGAGGTGACGTCACACTAACGGTCGCTCCATGTTGAAGATAGGGCTTTGTACAAGGCCCATTTTCAAATGAAGGGAACGAATTTCTTCAACACCAAGAGGCCGCGGGGGTTGCAACCTAGATAGATAGCGGTTTCTGAACCTCGCCGCAAACTTGGCTATCTCAACTCAAACCCCATGTTAAAGGTGGGGTAGTCCCTTTAACAGAGGCTATTTTTGGGGTAGTAGCCATGGCGAGCGGACCAGGTGTCCGGGATGGCCAAATTGCACAGCAAATTTCACTGATGTTAGTTGTCGGACTTTCGTCCCCGTCTTGAGTTGAGATGTTAGTTTCACAACGTTTCGGCCAGTTACGTCTCCGGCCGTCGTCAGGTGTTCTTTGGCCCTTAGAAGGACCTGGATGTTGGTGGCGTTGCGCCGTACGTGTCATACCGTTCGAAAGCTCCTGTAGTCAGCGGGAATCGGACTCGGGTTTCCCCGGTGATAGTCCACGGTTCTCTAACCATTCCACTATCGAGGTAGACATCGTTATGGAGCTGGAGACTTGGTGTCATTTATCCCCCAGATGTTTTTGTGATTTCCTTAGTAGTGGGAGCCATATTGGGCTGATGTCAACGCTTGGCTTACTAATGGGGTTGCTGGCCAGCGCCATGTGTGCGGCTTCCTTGATCTTTCTGATTTTCCAGTGTGGCTCCTTGTCGATGATGGTGGTATCATCCCAAGCAGGTCTGTGATCTCCTTTTTCAGACCATGCATGCTCCGCCACACCGGATTTCAGTGTTTCGCCTCGGATGGTGGCCTTCCTGTGTTCTTCGAGCCTGACCGCCAGTGGGCGGCCAGTCTCGCCCTTGTATGACCTGCCGCAGCTGCACGGGATGTCGTATATGCAGTTCTTTGTTTGCTCCTTGGTGGTTAGCGGTATGACCTTTGTGAGTGACTTGCGGAGGGTGGTGGTACTTCTGAACACCGTCCTGATGTTGTATGTTCCGCAGATTCGCTTTAGCTTCTCTGACAGTCCTCTGTTGTATGGGAGGGATACTGTCGTGATGGGCTTATTCCTTGGTTGTTGTTGGGATGCTTCCTTGGGTTTGTGTTTCATGAAGCTCGTTGGGTATCCGTTTCTCCTGAAGGTGCTGGTAAGGCGTGACATTTCCATCTTTTTGGCTGCTTCGTCTCCACAGATGTTGGTGGCTCGGGTCTGCAGGCATCTGACGATACCTTTCTTGACTGTGTCTGGGTGGTGTGACTTGAAGTTGAGGTAGCGGTCGGTTGCTGTTGGTTTGCGGTAGACCGATGTTCTGAATGCTTCCTCAGATTTCTCCACTTGGACGTCAAGGAATGGTAGTTTGTTGTCGACTTCTGTTTCCATTGTGAATTGGATGGAGAGTCGGAGGCTGTTGAGGTGGTCTAGGAATGGTATTATGTCCTCGCGATGGTCCCACAGGACGAATGTGTCGTCGACATATCGCAGCCACAGGGATGGTTTCAGTGGTGCTGTTTGTAAGGCCAGCTCTTCGAAGTTTTCCATGTAGATGTAGGCGATCACCGGTGACAGGGGTGATCCCATGGCCATTCCTTCAGTTTGTTGGTAGTAGTCATCGCCCAGTTGGAAGGCGGTGCTGGTGACATAGAATGTCAGTAGTTCCATGATGTCATCAGTCGGGATTGTCGTTCTTTCGGGCAGTGTATCGTCGCTCTTCAGTCTTGTCCTCACTATGCTCAGAGCTTCGGTAGTGGGCACATTGGTGAACAGACTCACCACATCGAAGCTTATCATTTGCATGTTCGGCGAAGGTCGCATGGCCGACGAAGTGGGCTGAGTTCTTGACATATGTAGGTGTTTTGCCACTCAGTGGGTTGATGATCTTGACGAGGAACTGGCTCAGAGGATGGCAGGCTGAGCCACGGCAGCTTACTATTGGTCTTAGCGGCACATTGGTCTTGTGTACCTTTGGCAGTCCTTACATGTGTGGAAGTTTGCTGTGATGTTGGCTCAGCTTTCTGTACTGGGCGTCCGTGAGTTGTTCCTTGTCCTTGTTCTTCTTAAGGAGCTTTGTTAGTTTGCGTTCACAGGCCGGGGTTGGGTCTTTCTTCAGTTTGGTGTACGATCCATCTGTCACAATGCTGTTCATCTTGTGGTCGTATTCGTTCTTGTCCATGACAACGGTGGTGTTTCCTTTTTCTGCTGGAAGTATGATGATGCTGCCGTCTTGTTTGAGGTTGTTGATTGCTGCCAGTTTCTCTTTGGTGGTATTGGCCTTTGGCGGTTTGGCCCTTTCCAATGCATGCCTGACTTGCCAGCGTAGTTCTTCTGCATGTTCTTTATTAATGTGGGATGTTGCTTCCTCGATTGGGGCCACGATGTCTATTACCGGGGTTACATGAGCGATCCGTTCCAAATACGCACTACGCTAATGCGCATCAGCTCCCCACAAACGTATCTACGGCACCGGTTACATGAGACTAATTCGTTTTATCTACGTCAAACGGATCTTGTTTGGCTCACCCGGGCTGACTCCTCGACGGCCGGTAATTCGCATCACAAACGGAATAGGATTAGCGTACAGTCATGGCGCAGTTGCGGCATTTACCGGGACGACTGAACTAAATTTTAAATACTTTTATCATTTGATAGGCTCAAAAACATTTAAAATTAACATGAAATCAAAAAATGAAAACAAAGTTTTCTTGTTTTAAGTCAGTGGGCACTGATTCGCCATGCAGCGACAGCAGGGTGGTCAGAAAAAAATTATCTATCAAAATATTTCATTCATTTTATTTCACATGCAAAGACTAAACCAAAATACCAACATTTTTTTGCTATTTTCTACGAGGCAGCCAATAAAAAAATGCTTAGTATTTTGCATTTTGACGCTTCCAGTCAGCAAAGAATAGTTCTTGTGAAATACGGCCCGAATCGTGTGCCTCAGGCCTGGTGGTTACATGAGCGATCCGTTCCCAAATACGCACTACGCTAATTCGCATCAGCTCCCCAAGAACGCATTCGGTGCACCGACTACATGAGCAAATTCGTATCAGTGACGTCAAACGGATCTAGTTTGGCTCTCGGCCCGATGCGCATTACAAACGAAATAGCATACAAATGTGGCGCACTTCCGTAGCAATAGAGGTGACTGAATTAAAAACTTAATATCTTATGTCTTTTTTGCATTTAATCTGCTCAAAACATTCTCAATTAACTTACCAAAAAAGTTAAACATAAAGTTGTCTTGCTTTGATTCATTGAGCACTTGCCTCCCTTGATTCGTCTGTAGTGCTGTCAGAAAAATGTTTCAACTGAAAGTACTTTGATATTTTCTTTTTGGTTTTCACTATATTTATTGACAAAATACCGACATATTTTTTTAATAATTATTTCAAAAGAAGCAAATGAAAAAAATACCTATTATTTTGCATTTTAATGTTTCTTTTTGGAAAGAAATAGCTCCTGTAATACGTATCTTGGTCCTATTCGCTTCTAAGCCTCTTTCTCAGCGGATTTTGTTTGGACCGCCGATTCGTATTAGCAGGTGGATACATGAGTCGGTAGTACGCTCCTAATTCGCATCAGCGGTGAATCCGATCGTGATACGTATTTGCTTTGCTCATGTAACCGCGGATCGGATCGCCAATTCGTACTAGCAGGTGGCTACATGAGTCGGTAATGCGTTCCTAATTCGAATTAGCGGCTAAATACGTATTTACTGTGCTCATGTAACCCCGATATATGTTGTTTATCCGCTTGGTGGCTGTTGCGAAGTTTGAGTCCCTTGTTGAGTATGGTCTCTTCAGATGCCGACAGTTGTCGCTTGCTGAGGTTCACTACAGCTCTGATGGGCTGTAACGGAGTCCTGGTATGTGCGATCTTCTTCAGTTTTTCTAGTTTTGTCATATGCCGCTTCTTTGTGGCATGGTCCACAATGGTATGTGACCTGATGACTGATGATTTGATGCGGTTGAAGTCGTCGGAGCATGTTACTTAAACTAGAAAAACTGAAGAAGATCGCACATACCGGGACTCCGTTACAGCCCATCAGAGCTGTAGTGAACCTCAGCAAGCGACAACTGTCGGCATCTGAAGAGACCATACTCAACAAGGGACTCAACTTCGCAACATCCACCAAGCGGATAAACAACATAGACATCGTGGCCCCAATCGAGGAAGGAACATCCCACATTAACAGAGAACATGCAGAAGAACTACGCTGGAAAGTCAGGCATGCATTGGAAAGGGCCAAACCGCCAAAGGCCAATACCACCAAAGAGGAACTGGCAGCAATCAACAACCTCAAACAAGACGGCAGCATCATCATACTTCCAGCAGACAAAGGAAACACCACCGTTGTCATGGACAAGAAGGAATACGACCACAAGATGAACAGCATTGTGACAGATGGATCGTACACCAAACTGAAGAAAGACCCAACCCCGGCCTGTGAACGCAAACTAACAAAGCTCCTTAAGAAGAACAAGGACAAGGGACAACTCACGGACGCCCAGTACAGAAAGCTGAGCCAACATCACAGCAAACTTCCACACATGTACGGACTGCCAAAGGTACACAAAACCAATGTGCCGCTAAGACCAATAGTAAGCTGCCGTGGCTCAGCCTGCCATCCTCTGAGCCAGTTCCTCGTCAAGATCATCAACCCACTGAGTGGCAAAACACCTACATATGTCAAGAACTCAGCCCACTTCGTCGGCCATGCGACCTTCGCCGAACATGCAAATGATAAGCTTCGATGTGGTGAGTCTGTTCACCAATGTGCCCACTACCGAAGCTCTGAGCATAGTGAGGACAAGACTGGAGAGCGACGATACACTGCCCGAAAGAACGACAATCCCGACTGATGACATCATGGAACTACTGACATTCTGTGTCACCACCACCGCCTTCCAACTGGGCGATGACTTCTACCAACAAACTGAAGGAATGGCCATGGGATCTGTCACCGGTAATCGCCAACATCTACATGGAAAACTTCGAAGAGCTAGCCTTACAAACAGCACCACTGAAACCATCCCTGTGGCTGCGATATGTCGACGACACATTCGTCCTGTGGGACCATCGCGAGGACATAACACCATTCCTAGACCACCTCAACAGCCTCCGACCTTCCATCCAATTTACAAAGGAAACAGAAGTCGACAACAAACTACCATTCCTTGACGTCCAAGTGGAGAAATCTGAGGAAGCATTCAGAACATCGGTCTACCGCAAACCAACAGCAATCACTGGCGGATCCAGGGGGGGGGGGGCCACCGGGGCCATGGCCCCCCCCCAAAAGCCTGAAAGGGGGGGCCAACATATCTTTTGGCCCCCCCAAAACGCTTGGAGAAAAATTAATGTGAGAAGGTTGCGTAGTAGATACCTACTAGAATCAGCAGCGTGATTCAATAGCGTAGAGAAAGTCAGGGGCACGGGAACTACTTTCAGACTGGGGGAGCACACCATAATAGAGATCAACCTAGGGTCCCCCCAAATCTAGTTTTCTCACCGGTTTTAGGCCACTTATTTTTCATCCCTTGGCTTTTTCAACAAAAAAAAAAAGAAACAGTTGCAAAAAAGGACGGTATTCCGTCTGAAAGTTGTGGGGGCACCGCCCCCACTGGCGGATCCAGGGGGGCCACCGGGGTCATGGCCCCCCAAAAGCCTGAAAGAGGGGGCCAACATATCTTTTGGCCCCCCAAAACGCTTGAAGAAAAATTAATGTGAGAAGGTTGCGTAGTAGATACTAGAATCAGCAGCGTGATTCAATAGCGTAGAGAAAGTCAGGGGCGCGGGAACTACTTTCAGACTGGGGGAGCACACCATAATAGAGATCAACCTAGGGTCCCCCCAAATCTAGTTTTCTCACCGGTTTTAGGCCACTTATTTTTCATCCCTTGGCTTTTTCAACAAAAAAAAAGAAAACAATTGCAAAAAAGGACGGTATTCCGTTTGAAAGTTGTGGGGGCACCGCCCCCACTGGCGGATTCAAGGGGGCCACCGGGGCTATGGGCCCAAAAAGCCTGAAAGAGGGGGCCAACATATCTTTTGGCCCCCCAAAACGCTCGAAGAAAAATTAATGTGAGAAGGTTGTGTAGTAGATACTTACTAGAATCAGCAGCGTGATTCAATAGCGTAGAGAAACCCAGGGGCGCGGGAACTACTTTTAGACGGGGGGGGGGGGAGGTCACACCATGATAGAGATCAACCTAGGATCCCCCAAATATAGTTTTCTCGCCGGTTTTAGGCCACTTATTTTTCATCCCTTGGCTTTTTCAACAAAAAAAGAAAACATTTGCAAAAAGGAGCGGTATTCTGTCTGAAAGTTGTGGGGGCACCGCCCGCACGGCCCCAGAGTTGGGGGGGGGGCAAGCTGCCACCACTGCCCCCTCCCCCCGGTTCCCGCGCCTATGGAGAAACTACCGGGTTTACTAGCTTCCTTCATAAAGTGTCGTCATGTCTTATCGTCACCCGAGGTCTTATTGCATAAATATCGATTGAGCTGTCAAGTTAACAAACTTGCTGTGGCAGCCTGACCTGACATGACCCGGCAACTTTTCATTCACGGAATATGCGCAATAAATTTTTTAGGAAAACTCACTGAGTTTTCGTTGAAAAAAAAAACTTGTTTTGTTTCGTAATTGTACAAGAAGCATATGAGGGACCTTTTTGTCCCTTCCTGCGAAACGGTAAAAGACTTATTTCGGTCACAGCTCAGGCCAATCTCTAAGGGTCAGTCGGGTCACTTATTTCTTAAAAGGGTCCTTACGGCATCCAAGGACCAATTCCGGCTTTTGAGTGCGCCACATCAGCATTTGATGCTACGACAGATGTCGAAATCTGAATATATGTTACAGGCCGTATGAAAATTCGGTCCGTTTGCAAACGGCCTGGCCCAGTCAGGCCATATGAAACTACCTGAAAACACCGGCCGTTTGCAAACTATGACCTGAAATATCAGACCGTTTGAAAACGACCTAGTTAGTTTCGGCCTAGCGGATCCAGGGGGGCCACGGGGTCATGCCCCCAAGCCTGAAAGGGGAACAACATATATTTTTTGTCCCCAAAAACACTTAAGAAAAATGAATGTGAGAAGGGCGTAGTAGGTAGAGAGAAAATACCGTATCATTAAAAATCTGTGAGCTTGATAAAAGTGTTGGTCTTGTCTTC